CACCCTCCAAGTATAGAGTAGGGGTGGGATCTACTGAATTATTTTATTTTTATTTATATTCTAATTTAATTTTTTTTAAGAGTATACATAAGAATGTTGGGCAAAAGGTAGATATGAAAAAGCCTTGGAATGCTTAACTCCAATCATGCCCATAATGAAAATTCCATAGGACCACATTTTAATTTGGACCATTATTAAATAATAATAATAATAATAATAATAATAGAGTTACAAATGCTTACCTCATTTTTACATCATGATTAATATATGAGTAATTAAAGATATTGAGTTTGTGTAATATTGGTATGTTTATAAGAAAAAATCATGTGTTTCCTTTAACATCAAATAGTTTCAAGATTTGTTGTCTTACATGATAAATAAATATTAGATATGTATATGATTTTGTTTAAAACAAATATTCAGAAATTGAATACTTCCCCCGTCTCATAACAAAGTATTAATTTTTTCATTTTAATTTGTCCTATAACAAAGTATCAATTTTCTTTTTTAGTAACTGTACTATCTACCTAACATTACAAATACTCTTACAACTTATAATATATTATAAAAATGTCATTACATTTATATCACACATACTAATAAGGTTATTTTAGTCATTTCTATTTTATTCTTACTATATCTGAATATAATATTAATATTTTTAAAACTACCTGCAAAACGCAAATGAATATTTACTTATGGGAGAGACGGAGTAATTAGAAATGACAAGTAAACATACCCTAAATATAGTTAAAATAATTAATATGTTCAGTATTTTATCCAATATATTATTAACATAAGTATCTTTAAAATTAATAATTATTAATATATATAATATTTCTAAAAACTAATAAACTGGATACGAAATATTATAGTATATAAACTAGTATTCAATTTTAACAAGAATAAAATAAAAATAGACACTAAATAAGACATTGTATAAAAATAATGATTGTAAATTCAATAAATAAAAAGGACTGGTAACATTCTCTTGGGCAAATTAAATAATTGCATAAAAAGAAGAGAACTTGCTGGAAGCACATGAGTTAGTGCACCTTTTTGTGTTTTCTTACAGCACTACTTTATTATTATTATTATTATTATTATTATTATTTATTTATATAAATATGAAATATATAATTTAAACAGGTAATTCCCAGTTAACATATATAAATCTATATTTATAAATTAAATCGTTATAAACAAAAATAACTATGTGCACACTTTTTATGGATACGGATAATACACAAGATTTTGTTTTTCTTTTTAAATTTGTTTTTATATATTAAGTATGGCTAAAATACAAATATCATTTTAATATTAATCAATACCCAATATAATTCTTTATTTAGTAATTTATTTTCATATTGACAAAATGCATATATATATATATATCCTATTATGACATAATTTTTGGCAAAAAAGTGCAAGAATTATGTTTTTATTTTATGTGTATATATTATTTATTTATTTATATGATATCATTGGACTTTATCCAAAAAAAAAATTGGATTTTTGAGTGATTGCTTGTATTGGGAGCAAAGCATAATTATTACATAGTTTGATGATAAGCATTATATATATATATATATATATATATTAAGTATTAATGATGATTGTTTTAATTATAAAAGATTATAATGTTTTCAAAATACGTACTTGAATATGTAATTTCATGCACCAAAATAAGAAGTCCATCACGTGATCACATGTAAAATTTAACAAATCAGTAAAATAAAATAAAATAATTCACGTAGCACTTCTTCTTTTTGCAATTTTTTATTTTCAATTTGTTATAGTTTTTAATAAAATTATTATATACTCCCTTCATCTTGGAACTAAATATCCATTTGCTTTTTGCACGTAGTTTTAGAAATATTAGTATTATATAGAATATATTAGGAATAAAGTAGAAATGACTAAAGTAACTTTATTAGTATGTGTGATATAAAGGTAACGACATTTGTGTAATATATTGTAAGTGGTAAGGATATTTGTAATGTTAGGTAGATAGTACAGTTACTAAAAAGGAAATAGATACTTTGTTATGGGACGGACTAAAATGAAAAATGAATACTTTGTTATGGGACAGAGAAAGTATTTACTATAGATATCATATTATTTTAATATTTTAACAAAAAATACTCTTTTCTTTTTCTGCTTCAACATATATTAACACAATATGGGACTCGAAAGACCTTTGACCACATCAAAACTTACCTAAAAATAATACAATATAACAATAGTTTATAATTATTTAAATTACAATTCAATTCCCTAATATACAAAGAATATTGAAAATTCAAGTAAAATGATAAGAAAAAACAATAAATAAAATAGTAAAAAATATAATTTTTAAAAATCAATTTTACAAATATATTAACAAATAAATTTATGACTAATAGTTTAGTTTTGTCTTGTTAACATTAGGTAGGCCCCCATGGACTGGTTTCAAACCGGGCCGTGCGTGTGCCTATTTGGTCCAAAAATATTATCGGGCCGGGCTGAACCAACAAAAAATTTGGAGCAGTCTGATTTTTCATCTCTCTATTCCACTGCTATTATATTTTTTGAGAAAATAAAATAAAATAAAAACCTATCCAAAACAAAAAGAAAACACATGTTAGTATAAATTGACAATTCTTTGATCCCCTTGACACCAATATAGTAGATATTTATTGGTAGAGGTAGGGTAGGGTAGGATAGGAGTAGGTGTAGGGTAGGGCATACACAAATGGATAGACCATACCATTCTTTGGACCAAATAATGTCCAAATACTAATTTGCATTTGCCTTCTTTGCAATCATACCTAAATCTCTCTCGTCTAAGTGTTGCATCAATTATTTTTTCTCTCTTAAAAAAAAAAAGAAAAAACTCTTTATATTGTTTTATTTAATTATCCACCACAAATATATCCGCTTTTTATTAATTTCTCTTAAATAATTAATTTTATAATATAATATATTTATAATAATATTATTCAATTGAAGAAAATAATGCATCCATGAGTATTTTACTTTAAACTTTAAATTATTACGAAAATATATCATAATTATATGCTTTATTTGTTATTCAAATTTATTTTTATTTAGTTGTCATTTAATTTTTTTTTTTTTAATTTTTAGTAAAAAAATATCATTTTTTTTTATTTATATTCTTCTTTACATAAATATAATTTCTTATATTTTTACCTCTTTTTTATTTAAATCTATGTTCGATCAAATAGATATATATTTTTTCTACAACGGAAGGAATATAATATAGCATTTCAATAATATAGGATGTGTTTCTGCAGCCAAGTTTGGACAGAAATACTATGCAAACTTGACTGTTTGGTTTTGGGGAATACGCCCTGACCGAGACTGTCACATTTTTCTTTTTTTTTTTTTTAGTTTTTTTAAATTATAATAAATATAATTTAATAAAATATATACAATATATATATTATTTGATAGAAAATAATTTTTTTTATAATATAAATAAATAAAATTTGTAAATATATATGTAGATATAAAATAAATTTATAATCAAATTATACAAATTAATATACATTTATATTATTATATTTATTACTATCAAATTAATACACATCAAAACTCACCAAACTCAACCCAAATTCAAACACAAAAAAAAAAAAAAAAACATAAAAATTCAAACTTACTTCAAAATTAAAAAAAAAAAACTAAATTCAAACTCAAATATCCCAAAACACCCTATTAAACACACCCATAGTTTTGGGAGACAAAAAAAATAATGACTAGAAAATTCTAATTGAAAATCCACAAACAAATTTGTCCGTGGATTGGATTGAATTTACATTATTCATTCAATTTTTTTTCCTCAAAAACATCAAATCAAACACCTATTTTTTATTTTTTATATTATATTAAAAATTAATTTTACATTCAAAACATCACATCAACACCTATTTATATCGCATCGTACAACTATTCAAATTCAAAATTTTTACTATTCAAATTCCAACTCAAAATTCAAACTTCCAAACAAACACACCCTTAGATATTATAATTATTATACAATAAACTTGTATGATTAACTAACAAAATATATTTTCCATATTCAGTAATCACATCAAGTATATAAATATATACTTCCTTCATAATGCAATTATGAGTTTATTTGATCGATTACCAATTTTAATAAAAATAAGTAATAGTAATTATTGATTTTTTATTTTATACTAAAAATAAATAAATAATATAATAATATTTTAATTTAAAAAGAAATAAGAAATATATATATTTACTATATGACAATTTTAAAAAAATAAGAGTAAATTTAAATGATTGGAGAATAAAAATTCACAAGCAATATTTATTTATTATTTTCTAAAGAAGGGATGTAATTAGTCTCTATCATAAAATCCTTAGAATATCCCTAAAATGAATTACACAAAATATAAACGAAAATGAAATAAAAGCTGGAAATAGTGAAGCAAATTATGACATGACAAAAGACAAAATAGTCAAAGGTCTGCTTGTTTGTGTTTCTCGAATTATTTTCAATACCTAACTTTTTTTTTTTTATTAAGAATCTTACGTAACGAGTTATTTTGTTGTGTTTATACAACACACTTCGCTCATTTGAGACTATTTATTTTTCAAAAAATATCACATCAAATACATATTTTTTCTCATAAAATATCAAATTAAATATTCTCTCCGTCCCACAGCAAGGTTGCCACTTTCGATTTTTATCTGTCTCATTACAATGTTATTGTTTCCTATTTTAGTAACTTTTATACATATCTAAAATAATAAATACCTTCCTCTTTACATTTTATTACGGAAATGTCCTTCTACATTTTTACAAAAATAACAAAATTAAAACACATTTAATACTCACCCCATTAATTTAACTCCTACCTACCCATCTAATATCTCAGTCTTTTACCCACCTTCCTCTCGATTAGGGTTTGTAACCTTCGCCATCCTCTACGCCGTTGCTGTCGCCCCTTTCTTTTCGACTCATTTTTCCGATGACGTCGTTCGCCCCACACTCCCCTGCAGCGGCGGAGGGTCGTTCCCCCATTGAGAGGGATCGTTTACGCTCTGTGGGTGGGTTTTCGGAGTTGTTTAATGACTCCAATGATTCCTCCAAATCGGCCGTTGCCGATGCCTTTTCCGTTTCCGATTTCTCTGGATCTACTACCGCGAACACTAATCCCATGGTGCTCCATGGATTCGCCCCTGATTCGGAGCCGGAGGTTGATTCCGGTGTTGCCCTTGTTCGAGCCAGGCGATCGTTGTTTCGGATATCTTCTTCGTCGACCCGGGGTAGGATTGAAGCGGCTCCATTGAGTTGCTCTTCTACTTGTGGAGTTATCATCGATATGCTTCGTATATACTGCCCTCTCACCGTCGAGCCACTGGAGTACCGTGTTGGAGGTTGGTAGATTTTATTTTCTTTCTAACTATAAAGATGTTGTCCTAAAAATTTTGTTTAACGTACCGTGAATAGGCTTGTTAATTTTCGTTAATGAACTTATTAATCTTCGTTTGTTGTTGTTTGTAGGCAAAATTGAAAATCATTTGGGTCAATGATTTACTATCCTATGGCTACATGTTGTATGGTATGATCTCTACAGATGAGGTAAAAATCGATATACTTGTTGCGAAAAATTGTAGCTTACTTGATTGTCCCTGATTATGTGTGTGTGCAAAATTTGTGTGGCAAGTCATTGTTGGTTTTGGGTATGAATAGCTTGAGATGATGAAAATTTTTAAGTCACTAGTGATTTGAATCAGTAGGTGGTTCACTGTTGCATAAAAACGAGTTTTTGGAGACTTATACCTAGTATAAAGTCATCGCTCGTCCAACGTGAGCACGGTCCCTTATTTGATTCAATACATTTCTTAACAATGTATTGAATTCAGGTGTTCAATGATCTATACATTGAGAGAATGTTTTAACGTTGTCCCTTGTAATCGATGATGATTTTATAATCTGAGAGCGAAAGTCCCGTGTCCCTAAATTACCTCATTGATTAGGACTAAAATTCAAACAAAATGGCCTGAAAAAATTTACTGCTATGCACTTGGTGATGATTTTATAATCTGAGAGTGTCAAAGGTTCCTGTACAAAACATAACAATGTAACACAACTGTAACTGAATTTAAAGAGATTACGTTACAACTGCAAAGTGCTGTTTCAATATAGCATTTTGTGAGTTGTAATGAAACTCATATACAAAAGGGAAAGTAGTTACAAAAACTTTCCTATGGCTACTAATTACAAAAGATATTAATGCTTACAAATGAGGAAATACCTCTGTTTTTCAAATCAGTTCCTCAATGGCAGTGATTAGTTCTTCGAAACCTTCTACTTCATTTGCTTCTATTAATGTATCAATGGATGCCTTGATCAACTCCCGGTCAATCTCTAGGTTTGTGGGAAGTGTATTGTTTCTTATCATCGCAGATTTACCAATATGAGGAATCTTGTAGTTGTTGCCCCCATTGCATGCCATTATTTCCTTAAGACAACCTTGCAAGCTTAGGAAAACATTGTTTAAAGTTGTGTCAGATAGTTGGTCAAAAGATTTATGCACTGCCTGTAACAGTTCATCCACGTTTGATGCTATGGTTGAAACTTGTAGTGCTCGAAACCACCCCAAATCATTTATATTTGTACTGTTTGATGGTTGAAAAGTAAGATGGATATCAAATCCATCGCTGCTTGCAGCTTTCCTAAAGTCCGGATCACTGTCATCAATGTGTGGTTTGACATTGTTTTGTTGTATTAAAATGCTTTTGCTTGCTCTTGCTGGTCATTTCGCTTTAATCATTGGAAGTAACTGCATATATTTGGAAATGCATTAATGTGGAACTCATACTCATCTATATTCATATGTAAAATTGGTAATACCTCGTTGATTATTAGTGCCTTGGTGACTTCCTTTGTGTTGAATCCATTGGCTTCGTTTCCAAGGTGCCAGCAGGTCAGTTTTTTTATTTATTTTTGGCTGAAACTTGTCTTGTGAAAGGAAAAATACCTATTTTCCCATCAAAAATACATTGCCCTTCTTCTCCATATAAGGGTCTGCTCACAGCAAACCCATAAGAACATTACCTTTGTAATAAGCCTTTTGCTTTGGCAAACCCTATAAAGATCAAACTCGTCGGGAGTGAGATAATATTTTTTAGTATTACGAGTAATATAAAACCATTTTTCGTCTATGTGTACAACATTAGACATGCTCTTAAACTTGATGACACTCATATCCTGGCCTACATCGACATGATTCAGACTGAATCTCAGTCTGCTGATTCTATTGGTTGCTGTCAATGCTGGTTTTATGGCATTACTGTGGTGCCTGATCAGGCCATTTTTGGTCCACCTTCCGACAGTAGACTTGCTAACACACATTTCATGTGCCACACTACGATAACTGTCACGCTTACTGTACGGAATTTTTTGCATGGTTGTGTTGTCGAGAATGTGTTTCTTTTCACTCCCTTTACCTATTTTATGGCTGTTTAAATTGATTGGCATATCTGATTCTTGCTGTTGCATGGCTCTTTTCCATATTCTACGTACTACATTGCGTGAAACTCCGAATTTGATTGCTGCTTCATTGATCTTTCCATGTACGGGCTTTCGATTCTTGTTGTTTTCTAACAAAAATTGCGCTATATTGTTAAGTTCCACGCTCGTTAGATTCTTCCTTCTCTTCATTTAAGCTAATGAATATTTTATCTAGCTTCAAATTCATTGCTATTAATGATGCATTTATAGATGTAGTTTGAGATGATTGTTAAATGGAGGGATATTAATATTTTGATAAGAGAGAAATTGAAAACTGTTTATATTCTCTTTTGCAAGTGAAAAATTGAGAGATGAATGTAATTGTTTATTGCAATGTCCATGGCCACTGTATGTTTGTGAAAAAATTGTGGATTTGCATCATTTAAGTGTATTATTGTCTATTTATATTAATTATGTATTAAACAACCATATATTTTAACATTATTTTTTTTTTAATTGATTATGTATTAAGTAATGTATATTTTAAAATTAGATTACTGTTTGTATTAACTAATATTAGTTTACTTTTTATTACTTTATCAATGATTTAAGGGCATTTATGTCTTTTCTCATTATTTTGTAATATCCACCAATATAATACTAATATAAAAAAAAACAACGTGCCAAAAGTAAATGACAATCTTCCTCTGGAATGAAGGGAGTATAATTTTTTACTTTTTTTTCAAACTTACAAATTTCCAAAAAACTCCAAAACCCGCTTATCTAAACAAACTATATTATATTTTATTATAAATATTAAATTGAAAACTACAGTGTTTCTTTTCAGCTTAGATTAAATTTGAAAATACTAATTTTTGATTTGAAAAATATTTTTATAATTTATTTTGTGAAATAATATTATCTCCGTCCGACTTTAAGAGTCTTATTTATTTATTGTGTATTGATATTTAAATACTAATTATTATATTAAAACGTAGTACAAATTAAGAAATAATTGCAACAATATTTCCATCAGTGTTATAATATTAATAGAAGAACATTTGTAAAAAAAAATTATACAAATATAAAAATATTTTTAATGTGAAGTACAATGGCGCAAAAAGTAGATGTGATCTTTAGAAGCGGCCGGATGGAGTATATAATACTCCCTCCGTCCCAATATAATAGTCTTGTTTACCATTTTAAAAAAAAAATTATTGTATTTATGTATAATATTTCAATCTCACATATAATTTATGCATACTTGTTTTTAATATGAAAATAACTTACAATAAAATACACACAAACTTTTATAATAATACATGTATATATATAGGATTACAATTAGTATGCTAAATCAATATTCAACATTTGTGTTGATAATTGATATTACTTTAAATGATAGCACACAAATAAATAGACAAACAATATATATTTTATATTAATATAATATAAGTATAATATATTATTGGATTTTATTTTTTGTCATACCAAACCATACTTGAAGACATTTAAATTTGAATCTATAACCTCAAAATTAAGAGTCTATTTTCACACATTCTCGCACCATCTCTTAATAGACAATATCAATACAATTTATCATCCAAATGCCACTTTTATAAAAAAAAAATAAAAAGAAAATAATAAATAAATCTACAAAGGAATTGTCCAAGAGACAAATTTACATGAACATAAAACACTAAAAAAAGAGTAACCACTTGAAAACTCCAGGGCTCTCAGCTCCCATAAGATTCTCTCCATTAAAGAAGTAGGTCGGGAGTCGGGCTCCATGGTGCTCTCAACGCGGATAAGACAACAGCAAGTGCGGCGGAATGCAAGAAGATTCCTTCCAAACACTTGAATGCCTCTTAAGAATTTCCGCCGCCGCCTCCCTCGTCCGCCGCCCAGTCTCCGCCCGATGCACCACCAGGCACAGCTTCGCCGCCACCCCCACCGCCGCCATCTCTGACACAACGGCCGGACTGGCGGCGTGCCTCGATATCCAGCACAGCGTCCTCACCGCCCGATAATTTGCCTCTGCCGACACCCTAAGAATTTTCTTCGACACCACCACCAGCCCCGCTCCGTGGCGGAGAATCTCCGCCCGGCCGGCGGCGCACCCGCAGAGAAGGTCCAGGACCGCCAGTCCCAGCTCGCAAATCCTCCTCTCCCCCGTCTCCAAAATCGCCTCCACCACCGCCCAAACGGCGCCGTTTTGAACGGCGGTTATGCGATTCCTGCCCCACGGGCAGAGCTGCAGGAGCACCTTTAACGCCGTCTTCGTGACGGTAACGGAGACCCGATCCGATATGATTCGGGCTACTTGTTTGTACATTTCGGGTTCGCATCCGATCACGTGCTCCGGATCCGCCACGTGGAGCGCCGAGTTCAGCAGAACTATCGCCTGCCGCCGGGACTCGCTGCTCCCGATTTCCAGCACGTGCGTCAATGATCGGAAAAGCCCGCCGGCGGCGATCAATTTCTTCAGGTCAGAATCCGGCAGGTCCATCCGGTAGAGAATACCCAACGCTTCGTCAATAACGACGGCGGCGCCGTCGCGGTGGCGCGCGAAGACGCCGGCAAGAAACTCGGCGGCGCCGCCGATCTGGAGGTGCTTCCGGCTGCTCTCGTTCCGGGCGGCGATGGATCGGAGGCGGCGGAGGCATTGCAGCTCCGACCGCGGCGAGGTCATACCCTGGCTGAGGATCCGGCGGACGTGCGCGGCGTCGACGGGCGGCTCCGGCGTCGGAATCCTGTCGACGGCGTTGGTGGCGCACCAGGCCTGGATGAGGCGGCGGAGCGTGTGGTTGGGGGTGAGGTCGGTGGTGGAGAGGACCTGATTGGTGACGGGACAGGTGGCGGTCCGGCGGCCGGAGAAGAGCCATTTCTCGATGGCGTGGCGGTCGTAGGTGATGCCGGTGGCGACGGTGACGGGGTCTTTCATTAACTCCATGGAAATGGGGCACCGGAAATAGGTCGGAATCTCAATTTCGTCGTCTCCGTCCATGACTGCTGCTGTAATGATTAATTTCTTCATCGAAATGAATTATGAAATGAAATGAATTATGAAATGAAATGAATCGAATCCCCCAAATTGTAAAAATTTGATCTTCAATTTTAGTGCAAATTTAATTACTTTTCAGACGGGGCTGATTCTGTGCATATATATATATATTTGAATGAAGTTTGAAAGTGAAGAGGAAGTCGATTCAAAAGAGAGATAAGTATGACTTTTTCCAAGAAAGTACTAGTATAAGGTTTGGATGGTTTTAATTTTAATTTTAATTTTAATAATATAATTTTTTTAAAAATAATAATGTATTTTTATTAAAAATTACAATATAAATAGTAATATTTTATTTATTTATATATATAAAGAAAACACATCATTCACAATTTTGCTATTATTTATATTTTATATTTAGGTAAGATGCTTATTTATGATTATTTTGCTTTTATTTCTGTTTTATTTATTTATGATTATGTAATATGGTATCAGAACTATATTTGTAGTTAGTTGTGTTAAGAATTTCAGTATGTTAGAAACAAAATCTTATAACATGGTATTAAAGTTATAGGTCTTTGAGTTCAAATTTTCTAATAATTTAAATTTTTATTATCAATATTTTATTATTTCACAAAAATTAACATTTGATATAAAATATATTTTTTATATATATTATATATTAATATAACAATTAATTCAAAAATCAATAAGAAAAATAATATAGTTTGTAACTTAACGGAAAGATTATATAAGAATTGTATAATGAATATATATGCTCTCTCCATTATAATTATATCATAGATTGCAAAAATTAAAAAATGGTATAATTATGATAGACGGGAAAGTAATATAGTTATTATGCAATTCTTATTTGTTTTTTTTTATAAAATATGTATTACTCTTTAAAAATTTATGTTAAAATATAAATACTAAACACAACCATGATATATTTACGTTTTAAAATATAGTCAAACAATAATATTTAATTTTGTGCGTAATTGGGTTTGATCAAATATTAGTATATAAAAATATTATATGTTGGTCTGAAATATTCACACCATATACTATGATATTGATATGGCTGCTTCTAACAATGAGAATTCTTCTAAATTACACGACCACACTATAGAGGGGTCAACAAACAGTCATTATTATTATTATTATTATTTAGACAATGCTTTTTTTAATTAATATTATAAAAGAAATACATATTTTTGTCTATTTTTGTTAACCTTTGTGTTTTTCCGATGGACTTATATTGTATTTTTGGAGAATTGTATAGAAATAAAAATACATTTGAAATCTTTAATACATTATTATAAATAAAATATAATACTCTCTAATTTATATAAGATGTGTTTGTTTTTTGAGATTGTTAAAAAAAAAAATTTTAACGTGAAGTATAGAAAGTTTGGAAAAATATGCAGAAAAAAACATAAAAAAAAAAAAATACAAAATATTGACATTATCAATTAAAATTATAGTTATGATTTTCTTGAAGAATTTTTCAATGGTCATGCTAATCCTCTTTGCCCAATTACATCTCTTACGAAATGTTATTAGGAAACTTCTATATCTTGGATTTTTTCATCCGGACCTTTACTATGCAATAAAATATAATAGTTTAGCCGATATATGTATGCTTTCACTGTCGATCATTGTAATTCTAATTGGGCCTAACACAACGACATTCCTTAAATGATCGACATAGTTATTAGTGTCACGTTCTCTTGGAAGACTAAGAAACAACATGTTGTGTTTAGGTCTTTAAATAAAGTAGAATACCGTAGTCTTATAGTAGTCGGTTCGAAACTTTTATGAATTTCACTATATTTTTCTATGTTGTGTATGTCTTTGTTCCTCATCCATCTCCCACTAAATTGGTATGCAACCCCTGCATCATGAACGCATAACGGACGTTGATATTTCTCGACACTTGATACGTGAGTACATCCCTTTGGCTACTAATCGAATTGCTAACTAGTTTACTAAGAACACACACAACGAAGTCTTTAAAAATGTCTGATATGATTTGAGTTTTATCCACCTACTTATTTGACCAAAGTATTTTAAAAGAAATTGAATATAATAGCTGTCTTTCTCTCTTTTGGCTGAAAGAAATCGTCTACTACATGAAAATCGAACCAAGTGTCTTCATATACATAGTTTGAAAATGATATAATTTGGCAAAAATAGAAGCCATTGTACATGTTCTAAGAATCTAAATACTCTTCATTTTCTTTGTAATTATTTTCCAAAAACATGTGCATTTTCTTTTCCTCTCTTTTTACTTATATTCATTGATACTTTACTTTTCCCCAATTACAAAATTATCACATATTTTCACAATTAGGAGAGGAAATAGGCAAGTCAGACCAGACTTTGGCTAAATAGGCTAGACCTATTTTATAAAACTAAAGCCTGAACCTAGCCTATCGGCCTATTAAAATATATATATCTAAAGCCTAGGCATGGCTTACTTTAAAGCTTGGGCTGACCTATGAACTTATTTAAAAATCTATATAATATTTGTTTATATTTTTTATTTTTCAAACTTAATATTTGTAAAAATATATATACAATTATTTATTATATAATAAATTAGTTAAAATAAATTAATTTTTTAGTTTTTATTGTCACCAAATATAATCTTTTATAAATTATAAACAATTAAAAACATAATATTTATATATATTAGATAAAAAAATATACTATATAAATATATGAGCAGACTGGCTTGATAGGCCAAAATTTTTTTTCGTAAAACCTAAATCTGTTCTATTTATTGAAAAAAAAAATTTATAAATATATTTAAATTTAGCCTTGTTAGTAAACAGGTCAGATCAGCCCTTATGCAAGCTAAACTGTAGACCATGACATAACCTGAACTATTTCCATCCCTATTCACAATTCAACTGAACGCTTGATTGGAAGATTGCTGTACTACAGCTTTGAGATGTAAGTTCAAATAAGAATTTATTGATGGCACTGTCACTCCTCAATCCACCATGGATTTCAATTCCTACCGATAAAAATATACTCCTACAATTTTTTCTAGAAAAATATTACATCATTTACATAAAATTTTTAATTTCAAATCAAACCAAGCCAAACACACCAATAATAAATAATTTAAAATAATAATAAACCCTAAAACTTACTATAGTAATAATAAATTAAAAAAATTTAAAAACCCTATAATTTACTGTAATTATTTTTTTTTATTATAAAAATATAACATACAATATCTATTTTCCTTATAACATTCCGATCAATTTTATTTATTTATTTATTTTTCTCAAAACATTGCATACGCGAAGTAATAATGTATGCTGTTTAACAGCTTCTTATCAATAATATACTCCCATCACTATTATTTCTAATTTAAAATGCAATAAAACTTTTGCCTAACTTCCCACTGTTTACATACATTTTCTTCTTTTATTATTTAGATGGAGTATAATTTATAAAATCATTCAAACCATAAACTAAAGATAAAATTATAACAAAATTATTATATAATATATATATATATATATCTTGCCAAAAAGAAAAAAGAACAAATGAGTCGATATAGGCGTGTGACAGTGGAAGTATAAAGGGGTGACATAACATAACATGCCTTCTTCTTTCCTTTTCATAAGTATTGCAATAGCAATGTCATTTCTGCATATTATGCTTTGCAACCAAAATCATTCATTCATTCATTCGACACCATCATCGAGCATATGTACAGAATTCAACAAAGGGATTGACCGAGATCATCGCCCTGTTGCTTTGCTTTCGATGTATGTATGCATGTATAGAGAGACAAGTCCTATTCAAACCACACTGAAATCGTAGCCCTCGACATTTAGTTTAAATACATACCTGTTGACATTTAGTTTAAATACATACCTGTTCGACAGGCTGTGCCTGGGTTACTTAGGTCCGGGGCATTTATTGTTTTTTAACAGCCACAGCCACAGCCACACGCAGCCTAATCCCAGAGGGCACCCGCAAATGAACACTCCGAATATGTGATACTTGGCGTGTAAGCCTCTGCATTTTTGTTTCTGTGCTGCAAAAGCAATGATAAGGAAAATAAGGGTTAGAAGTTCATTATCAACTGATTATGGAGATACATCACATTCAGAATATTTAGAGATCTTTTTCCTAAGGTGCGGACTTGGGATTATAGCTACGGTGAGGTCTAGTGGCTCATATACAACTCTCGCATTTTTTAGGAAAATATATATTTTTCTGTCACAAAACATTAAGTCAAAATACTATATAAACCTAAATCTAAATCCAAAGCACAAAGACAAGTGGAAAGAGAACACACAAATTTCCAAACATTTGCTCCATAATACTCAGTGTGAATAAAATCCAAATTTCTAAATAGTTTATTCCCATTTCAAATTTCTAAATGCTTAAAAGAAAGTAAAGGGGTTCAAGAAGATTTATAAATTTTTCCAGAAATAATTAATCTCTCATCTAAACAATTTAATCAACAACAAGATAATATAACGCCATCGATACCCAATACCCATAAAGATATTTATATCCATCTCCTATTTTCTTTCATCGAATACTTCGTTTATACATATATATGTATATATTCAAGGATTAAAATGCTCTATTCAAACAAAAACCAGTTTCTTGAATGAAATCAATACATGCCATCAAGCTGCAATCAATCTAAACAGAGAAATAAACCAATGATCACAAAAATCAGAGTCAATCTTCCTTACCAAGGGCAAAGATCAGTCCTTCAAGATAACTGTATCCGCAATCTCCATCAAAGGGTTCAAGCATCCCGGCGAGAATTTCCTCGCAAACATATAAGAATAACTAGAATTCGATTCCCTAAGCTCGTAAATCAGGTCGGGGGACACTTCTGCAGGATGATAAGTGCGGGGATGGCCGCTCATACTATCCGTCCAATTCACCCTTGTCAATGTATATCCAGTGCAGCCATTCGGATCCTGCATCGACAATAATGTCGGAAAATAATGCTCCTCTGGATAGCAAGTGTCTACATCCAAACAAGGTAGCTTGAATTTCCTCCATAGCTTCCTATCCTTGATCACCATTAAAGCATGCTTTCGTGTAACCACAAAAAACTGTGATCCTACTCGGAAATCGTCGAATCGAACCTCGGGGAGCATCACATTCTTCCCCCTGGCATTGTACCTATCCCACAGAGTGGGTTCACTGTCGAGGATTTCGATGTAGCTCGGCAATTCCAAACCCTTGGATAGTCTGACGAGATCGAAGAGGGAAGTGTAGAAGTAATTGAAGGAGTGGAGGGGTATGCAGTTTTGGGAAATTAGGGCAAAATATGTGTTGGAAGGATCGTCGAGCATGGCGGTGGCGATGAGGCGGCGAGCGGCGGAGATGAGAGTGGGGGAGGATCGTTGAGTTCTCTTGGAGGGGATGATTCTGCCGGCGAAGACGCCGGTGAGAGGACCGATTTTGGCGGAAGGATCGGCGTGGATGTAGATGTTGTAGTGGTTGGGGGTTACGTTGGAGAAGAAGCGGTTCCAAAGAGGGGCGAAATGGAGAGGGGAATTGGTGAGGAATAGGAAGGCGATTTTGGGGCGGCGGAGAGTGACGGAGGTGTGGAATTTGGCCGACGGGAGGTGCGTGTGGGTGCTGCTACTGCGGCGGGTGAAATTGGCGGTGTCCATGGCGATCGCCTTGTGGAAGAGGGAGAGGTCGTCGAGCTCGTCGGGGAGGGAGATCGGAATCCGGCGCGGCGGAAGGATTCGCGGCGCGAGGAAGAAGAAGAGAACGGGGAGAGAGAGGAGGAGAATTAGGGTTGGGATTACCGGCGATGAGGAGGTGGAAGAGATCACCGCCATGGCTGAATAATCAGAGGAAGTGATCGTCGCTTTAAGAGCTATGCGGTGGCGATTTCATGGCGGCGCCGGCGGTGGTGGTGGTGGTGGTGGTGGTGAGAGGATTGAAGAAGGGAACGACGAAACGGCGGTTAGATGGGTAAATGGAGAAAAGTTTTGAGGATTCAGCAGATATAACGGAACGGGATGAGTTAACGCCGTTAAGACGTCTACTTTAATTAGCCCTTTTTCTTTTAGTCATTCTCATAAGTATGTTTGAATTTTGTGATGTAGACATTAATTTGATCTAAAACATAGCGATAAATTTTCATAATTGCGTTGATTATTTTATTAGATTTAATCTCACCCACTCCAATTTGTGAGGAATTTAAAAATAAAAATTAATAATTTTAATATAGTCCACCATAGTATTACATCAAATCGTTTATAGTACATTTGCAGTAAGACATTTCACTCTTATGGACTGCACAGAACAGAAGGTTTACAACAGAAAGGAAATAACAGAAAAAAAAAAAGCTAAAAAATGAAAAATAAATAATAAAAACAAATATGTAAGCAAGCATGTATGTATGTATGTACGTACCAATTGTTGTAATGAATGTATCAGCTATGGTGAAGGAGCTCCCTCGGAAATGTTCTTACATGTTACTTTATCCTCATAAAGCATATTTGCCTGCAGTAGAGTGTGTACGTATATACATATGTATATATATATATATGTATGTGTATGTAATCACGCCGGCGGCTGTGATCGGGCCTTGATGTTGAGAAGCTAATGAACAGTCTGAGGACTGAGATTCGAAGAGTGGACATCCTCGCCGTTCGATTTGGTTCTGGTGTTCACCGGTTTTGGTGCAGCGATCCCGGCCTTCTTGACAGCCAGTCGACTGAATTGGTTCGCCGTTTGGACCCCTTGTTGCCCTGTTTCATATCAAATTTATCAATGCAGGCGAAAGCAATGCACGATTTATAAATTTATAGGCAAAATTACTCATAATCCGTACAAAATTTCATTTTTAGGGAATTATGTTGCCGCATCTAAAAAATACGTGTAGAAATAGAAATGAAGTTGAAAAGAAAAGAAAAGAAGCAAACCGTTGTCATCAGGGAGAGACAATCGCTTCTTCCCTTGGTTATCTCCAAGAGGAGACCGTTCTTTTGGGGTGCTGCGTGATCGAGCACCAGCAAAGGATCGCGGGGAGAGTACCTCACCCGAGTCTCTAACAAATGCTCGAGGACTCCTGGTTGGGGTACGTGGGGATGCTCGAGGGCTCCTAGTCGGGGTGCGTGGTGACGATATTTCTCTCAAATGTGGCGACTTGATAGGTGAAGAAGAGCAGGGAGAACCGGGGTCGGACTTGATTGTCGAACAGCGAACCATTTTCCTCCCCGAAGAAGCTAAACGAGGAGCTGGTTTAGGCTGTGCGTCGGATGGTTCCTTCGTGCCATCTTCGAGATTTATCTCAATGGCGCGGTTTTCCCATTGGGAAGACACCATCCAGCTGTCCGACCAGTTCCAGCTCCAGTAAATTTTATCTATGCCGGCACTTGCAGATTTTGTCCGCTGCTTGGGGGTTGCCTGCCACTGCATGATCATGTCGACGTTTTAAGCACATTATAGATAAAAAGATACACAGCAATGGTTCCGATGTTTCTAACATATGTAAATACAAAATTAAAAAACTGTATTCAGCTAGGAACTATGACATTTCTATCAATTTCTCATCAATATTTAAAATGATGGATCATAACATTGCATGTTGGTGCTAAATCAAGAACTCGGTTGTGTAGACATAATTCATTTAACGACTAAAATCTTCATTCAAAACGACATAGTCATTTATAAGATTGGAGTGGATGAATGATGTAATATTCAACACCAATAGTATATTCAGAACTATCTTTCACTATAGAACTTCCCGTTTTCTTTGTTTCGATTTTCAAACTCTGCAGCTTAAGGAAAACCACATAATTTCTCTCATCAAAGTTTTTACCTGGCGAGCTAAAGCATATGCAATTGCCTTTTCACGCTTAGCTGCAGCTTCCTTTCGTTTCTCTGACTTGGCTTTGATTTCTTCAGCAGACCGGACACTGCCGCACCATCCTGAACCCTGATGGAGTCGACAAGGTAGAGAGGCAAAACATTTTTAAGGTAGTTAGTAGCTACTTCTGATACACCCTTACAGGAAGACGTGAACTAAAATGTCCACCAATTTACACATAAGATTGGGTCCCTTTTGGTCTTCATGTTTATAAAACATGAAAAACGAGCAAGCAAATTGTGAGTGAATAATGTGTCAAGCAAGATTTTAGGCAATGATCTCGCGAAAATCTGCAAAACTATAGAAAGCAGCTTACTTCAGTTTCTTTAGCTGGTTCTTTTACAGTTTCTTTAGCTGGTTCTTTTACAGTTTCTTTAACTCGAGCCTCTTGTTCAATTTTCTGTTGTAGTTTTTGTTGTGCAATTTGATTCTCTATCCCCATGCGAACACGCCTAGCTCGGATACGAGCTTGAACTCTCACTAAATCTTGCATAGAATGGAAAGTAATGGTAGCTTGCTTTCTCACAGCACGACTTGTGGCGAGAGCTTGTAGTCTCACCAATCCCCTCAATGCACGCAATGATCTTCTAGCCTGGCAAACAATAAAATCGATAATAAGGATCATAAAAAAGATATTGCCTACTCTGATGAACAAACTGCTTTTAACTTTTTACGATTTTAGTCAAATGTATAATCAGGCAATTCTATGGAATCCTTTTGGCAAGACAAGAAATCGGATACTTCAAACGATAAATGCATAAAAGGAGAATGAAGAAATATGGAACAATGACAATTTCTATCATGACCAGATGATGAAGATTGCGTAAGTGGAAATGAAACATACAGAATGAGTGAGTTCTATACCATAAATCTTCTAAAGGCTGCCTGGATGTTTATAGCTGCCCATTCTTTTCTTTCATACTGTGGAATTTGAGCTACATTTCCCACCTGAAGTGAAGTAGAACACGAGCCGTCTGAACTCAAAACAAACTGGAGGTTTGCATTATTGGCATCTTGAATTACTGTAACCATTGTCGTAGAAAGTGAACTGGCTGGAGTTGAAATTGGCTGCGCAGTTTCTGCATTCTCAATGTTCATAATGGCGAAAGGATCTGACTTGTTTTCAAACATGCCATGATCAATCTCACCAGATTGTTTCATTGGAAGGATGCTTGAATGTTTAGCATCTTCAGCTTCTGTAATTAGATTTTGATCAGTTTCATTCTCATCAATACCACTATCAATCCCATCAGAGTGATTCATAGACTGGATTCCATCTCTGGCACCTTCAGCTTCTGCAACGACATTCGGATCGAACTCCTTTCCAATTATGCTGTCAGCAAGATCAACAGAGTCTTTCCTTTGGTGCCAGATCTCGTCACTGCTCCCAGAACTCTGTATGTCACCAACATCCAATTATAGCTTTCATGCAAATTCAAGCAAAACTTAATACATAGGGATATATACAGATTCACTCTGTGTCAAAGATCAACCTCTATCTATCTATCTATCTATCTATTTATCGAGCTTATATACAAACAAATGTTGACGGAATGGAATGGATCCTGGGGATGTCAATTATGATAATCTGAAGATTGATTTTATATATAACTAACTCACCATTTCATCCTCCTCTGAAGACTGCATTTTGTTGGCTTTCTGCAAACCAAGGACTGTTTTGATCCATTTCTTTGAGGCTCCCATTTTCTCCTGACCTGCCACAATTCGAGGGAATTTCAGGTTTTAACGTCGTTACAGCATAGCATATGTGAGACATACATCATCCTAGGTTACGTTACAGACAATTCAATACTTCCCTCTTATCTCAGCTAAATATCTCCAAGTTTTTCCCACAAAATTTCGAAGAGGAAAATTATCCACGAGGCGGCTTGCAGCAAGCCAGCAATGAATTAAATCAGAACAAAAACATAATCAAGCAATTTCAATTGCAAATTAGTTTTGAACAAAATCAGAAAATTAACAACATTCAAAGCTGCCAGCCAGACACGAAGAAGAAGAAGCCAATACATCTAACAACAACGTTAGTAGGACGAATTGAGCCGCAGACTTGCAACGCAGGAACATCGAAAATGAGAATCACTACACAAGGCATAAATAAAAGCAAGAGCTGGAAATCGCAATTCACAATTAAACGCACGCTAAACAAAGTAACAATTTCCCCCTAGGGCCCTCACATGTTCAACGGAATGAATGCATGGTTGAGCATCGCTGCGTCTCAGAAAAAAAACGAAAAAACTCACCACCAGCAGTTAATTACAGGTTTGAATCAGAAATTCCAAATTACAGCATTATCAATCAATCAATCAATCAAGTCGCCAATCCGCACGCACACCGGAAGGAAGGAAAAGTTTAGATTCCGATGAAAAAATTATGGAGAAAGTATAGGGAGAGAGGAATTGAAGAACCTGAAGCCTAATTTGGAAATGGAAAATGGGAGGCAAATGCTGCTGCACAAATCAATGAATCAATCAATCAACCAACCTGGCCCGCCCTCCCTCATTCTGGACCAACCAATTACAACGTCTCTTTTCTGTTACTACTCGGTCCTGGACCTGAGAACCTCAATCGACCAACCAACCTCTTGGCCTGTCGTCGAGGGACCACGACTCCTGGACTGGACTTGACGAGACTCCCTCCCAAAACACAACTCAATTTTACAATGCTGCAATGGTGTTTTGCGCCAGCCAGAAAAAACCAAAATGGGAAAAATTAAAAATCACAGAAACCCTAAATCCCCAAATCGAATTTCATACGTCAAAACAAAAACCCTAATTCGTCCATAATTCTACCTCCGGAAAACAGAAACAGAGCAATGTGGAACGGCAGAAGCGTTGAGAAACAGTGATCCACGAGTAAGAAGCCAACAAATTTCTCCGCCTTTTAAAAATAAAATTTAAATATATAAATAGGTGAAATGTATTTTAAATAAGGTGTGACAATGAAATATTTATTTAAATAATATTTCAATATTATATCATATGAAAAAAAATTTAGTATAAATAATATTAAATTTAAGTTTGAAATCACATTAAAAAAACGTATTAAAAATATAAATTAAAATTAATTTACATCCTACATTATGAAACACTTCATAATATCACTGTCCTTTGATCATAACGCAAATTAAAATATTTTTCTCCATATGGACTAAGCTGTTTGCTCCTAATACTCTTGAATTTCCATCAGATTATTGTATCCACGTGTCCTTATGAATGTGTTCTTGTGAATCTTGCCACCAACAACGACGACACATTTTCAACTTCTTCAACTCACCCAATATTTAGTATATTAAATAAATATATTTATTTAATTTATGTAAAATAAATATATTAAACATGTATAAAATTCAAGCTTAATATGTATGCAATTATTTCTCAAACATTTCGAAAACTCAAAACATATCTGAAAAATTTAAATGTAGAAATATTTTTATTTAAAATTCACATAGATCTATAAATATGACATATAAAACACTATTCTATTATATATTAATTGCAATTGTCATATTAATATTATCTAATTTTAATTGTGTTAATTTTTTTTCCCCACAATTAACAATAACATTAGTTATATAGTAGAAATTTGAACTTATCTTTCCTGTTTTTTGAAAACATTTAAAAAGCTAAATTTAAAATAATAAATATTTTGAAAAGAGTAGTCAAATGATATAAACATAAGTGATACAAAAGTTAGTAAATCTATTATTAATTGATACAATTGTCCATAAATATTATTAAAATATATAAATACACTCGTTAATACAATGTATAGTATAATACTACATCTGTTTCATATATAGTGTCTGATACACTCGGTATTTTAGCAGGGGTGTAATTAGTAGATAATTAAGAATACATTAGTAAAAATAATTATCATATAATATAAATAATTATAAATTAAAATTATAATAACTAATTAGTTTAATTAAATTTTTTAAAAAAAATAAAAAATTTAAAATAAATTAAAGTGTAATCATTTTTCAAAAAATAAGACAAAAAAAATATATTTTATTTATTTATAAAAAATTATTAGTTTTTATATTATCAATACAATTCTATATCCCTATTATAAAAATACAAAACAAGCAAACTAAAAAAAATGTGTTTATTTTGCATCATGATTAGGTATGAAAATTGTGTGAATATTCTTCCGAAATGGTATATCTACAATTGTTGAACCGAATAAACTTTTATTATTATTATTATTATATAATTAGTTATGCGGCCATAAATTTTATTTTAAAGAAACGAGAAAAAACAACAAAATTACCAAATATATATACGATACATCAATACACTACGATTTGTTGTTCGGTGTATGATTAGTCAACATATTTCAAAACTCATCTTAAACCGTTGATTCTGAAATCGACGGCTGATATACGAAGTCTTATACACAAGCAATAGGAAAGCAAAATCACGGAAAGAGGTAGAGCATTCTAGATCCTTCCTCGACCCCGTCACTCTGAATAACATTGACTTAATCCAACGGCCATGATTGCGTACACATTTAATCTGGGCCGTCCAATCTCCTACATATATATATAAATATGCCCCTTAAATCTGCTATTCAATTCCCAGCCCTAGATCATCGCTCTTTCTTCAATTGGGGAAGGAATTCGAGCGCGGTTCTGGATCTACTTTACCGTCGGACAGATTGCTCGATTCGGACGGATTTTTGATTATTGAAAATGTTTGGAAGGGCGCCGAAGAAAAGTGATAACAGTAAGTACTATGAGATCCTCGGGGTGCCGAAAACGGTGTCGGCTGATGATTTGAAGAAGGCGTATAAGAAAGCAGCGATTAAGAACCATCCCGATAAGGGAGGGGATCCTGAAAAGGTGAAACTGATTTTCTATTGCTGTGATTGTTACTGATTCTGTTTGAAGCGTGTCTCGTCGTCTAGGGTTTTGATACTGTCTGTGTTGGTTTTGATACTGTCTGTGTTCCTTGGGCAATTATATTGCGTGGTGTCAATGGTGCAAATAAACCGAAATTTATTGCCAATTCAGTACATTATTGCATCTCCCATTGTCGTTTAGAATATGTATATTTGATTTGAGTGCTAATCACCGCGGACTTGTGAAATTTGAGATTTTCAACGTGGGTCTGTTTTGGGGTTTGGGATTTTATGTTAGAATTTGAATAGTACAAATTTTGAATTGTAACGAGGTTGATTAGATAATTTTGGTTGGAAAAGATTTGATGAGTTGGTAGAATCTTGCCAATAAACCGAATACTTCGTCAACTAGGGAACGACTATTCCCTTTAGGAATGCGTGCTACGAAATTGTATAAGAATGCTCTGGTTGTGTGGGTCTTTTTAATTACGCTTTGTATTGTGGCGAATAGATTGATAATGCTGTTTATTTGATTTGGATATATAACTTAACAAACATCAAGGAATTAGACTGCTTAGTTTTGTGTTTTGGATGGAGCAGCTTTTGGTGTAGCATCCATGTATCTTAAGGACCTTATTGTCTTGTGAATCAAGTTGAAGATGCTGCTTTCAATTCTTCTTAATCATCACCATTCTCGTACATGGTTTACTGAGATTTGTTTGGCTTTGGCTTTGGCTTTTATGGTGCTGACAGTTTAAGGAGATTGCTCATGCATATGAGGTCTTAAGTGATCCTGAAAAGCGTGAGATCTACGATCAGTATGGTGAGGATGCCCTCAAGGAAGGAATGGGTGGCGGTGGCGGAGGCAGTGGCATGCACGACCCCTTCGGACTCTTCTCCGAGCTCTTCGGTGGAAGTGGATTTGGAGGTTAATTTACTACATATATGATATAAACATGTAATATTCGATGTTCTGCAACAATTAACTAACAAAGAGTCCGTATTGCTAACCAGGTGGTAGCAGTCGTGGAAGAAGGCAAAGACGAGGAGAAGATGTAGTGCATCCACTAAAGGTGTCTCTCGAGGATCTCTACCTCGGGACCAGCAAGAAGCTCTCCCTCTCTCGAAGCATAATTTGCCCAAAATGCAATGGGTAGGTTGCAGTTCTAATTCTTGAAGCCTTGTTCGTATTTCTATACTTTCCATGATGTTTTGTTTGATTGATTGATGTTCGAAGAACAGCAAAGGGTCCAAATCCGGGGCTTCATCCAAGTGCCTTGGCTGCCAAGGAAGGGGCTTGAAGGTCACTGTCAGGCAGATCGGCCCTGGTATGATCCAACAAATGCAGCAAGCCTGCAACGATTGTAAGGGCACTGGCGAAACCATCAGCGACAAAGATCGATGCTCGCAGTGCAAGGGTGAGAAAGTTGTCCAAGAAAAGAAAGTGTTAGAAGTCCATGTCGAGAAGGGAATGCAGAATGGTCAGAAGATCACATTCCCTGGAGAGGCCGACGAAGCTGTACAATTCTTTCCCCCCATATCCTCCGTAACAAATAAATTTGACAAAAACCATTTCTAGAATCTATTCTTTCCTTGATTGCAGCCTGAGACTGTCACTGGAGACATTGTCTTTGTTCTTCAACAAAAGGAGCATCCCAAATTCAAGCGAAAGGGAGAGGATCTATTCTTCGAGCACAACCTGTCCCTCACGGAGGCACTTTGTGGCTTCCAATTCATAATAACTCATCTCGACGGTCGACAGCTCCTCGTCAAATCGTCGCCCGGCGAGGTTGTGAAGCCCGGTAAGCAAAAAATAAGAAGTAGAAAAAGTTTTATTTCTTTACTAGTTTGAATGGGAGTATATTCCATTGGTGTGTTTTCTTACCAGCAATCGGTCCTTTTGCAGATTCTTTCAAGGCTATAAATGACGAAGGCATGCCGATGTACCAAAGGCCGTTCATGAAGGGTAAGCTCTACATCCATTTCAACGTGGAGTTCCCCGAATCCTTGCTTGTGGATCAAGTCGGCGCGCTGGCGAAGGTCCTCCCTGCGAAGGCAGGATCACAGTACACGGACATGGAGTTGGACGAGTGCGAGGAGACGACGCTGCACAATGTGAACATTGAGGAGGAGATGAGGAGGAAGGCGCAGCAGAGGCAGCAGGAGGCGTACGAGGAGGAAGAGGACGACGATGGCCCCGCCGGCGGACCTCAGAGGGTGCAGTGTGCTCAGCAGTAGTTCCAACAAACAAGATTTTGAAGAAGGTGAACCAATTATAACTACTATTATTATAATTTATTATTACTATTATTATTGTTATTGTGATTTTGAGATTTTAATTTGCTTGGAAATTTAATTTTGGGTAACCCTCCTGCCTTCTTCTTCTTCCTTCCATTGATGTTACATTCTGTTTTAAATTTATATGTATGTTGGAAGTGTTAGGTCAAGTTTGATTGCGTTGACAATAAGTAGGCACTCTAATTACTTGATTGGAACATCATCATATATATTGGTAATATTTAAGTTGATTGATTATTATCATAGGTTTGGCTATAAAACATAAGAAATAAATCAATTATAGGCATTATTTATTCCTGAAATATATCATGACAAATATATTTTCTTTTATAAAATATTAAACTAAATATTAGTATGTACTTATTTACTCAAATTTTCAAAATTAGAATTGAATTGATGTGTTTAATTTTTTTTTTTTAATAACTTTGAAGTTACATGTGACGTGTATTTATTTTAATATATTTTATATATTATTTATAATAAAAAATAGAAAAATAGTATGAATATTTATTAAAAAAATAAGAATATTTTTAAATAGCAAAAATAAATAAATAAATAAATTTTTATGTGAGCTTTTTTTTTTTATTAGAAAACAATTATTGTCAATGAATTGTGTAAAAGTTTTTTGAAGTGGTTATTATTTTATGTAATTTGTGAAATAGTACTCCTCCGTCCTGTGTAATATAAGTGTATTACCGTAGACATGATAAAATATAATTATTAAATGATTAAAAAATTTATTAGTAAAAATAATTATAAATTAAGATTAAAATAATTAAATAATTTAATTAAGATTAAAAAAATTAAATTTTAAAATAAAATTAAAATGTATAATTAATTTTTCAAAAAAAAAATGATAAATCATGTGGGACGAATAAAAAAAAAAAATAAATACAAATTAAGTGAGGAGGGAGTAAAATATAAGCCTAAGTATTGGAAGAAGCAAAAAATTGAAAGCTAGAATTAAAGCAAAACTGGAATTCAAAGGAACATGTACTATTAGCGATGTTAACGGGCTGCTTCGGGATGGGTCCCAGCTCAAAAATATTAGGATATAAGATCCGTTCCGTCCCGTTTCATCCTGACTCTAGGATCCGTCCCCTCTAAGTCTTTCGGGTTCGGAGCCAACTCGACATATTCATTTTTTTTAAAAAAAAATAAAATCTCTTTTTAAAAAACATAATTTAATACTAACAAAGTATGTGTCAAAGTATCAAAAATTATTGTTCTAAAAATAAAAACAATTAACTATTGATATTACTCCATAGTAACAGCAGTCAGTAGTACCGATTATAAAGATAATTGTAGGAGAAATAAATGCAAAAATAAATTTGATTTAAAATTAAAGTTATATTTTATATTTTAAAAATTTAAAATAAATAAATAATAGTATAATTTATATTGTATAAAAATATAAATAAACTATAATAATTATTAAAATATCCGGATTTGAGTCCAAATTCGAAGTGGGACAAGTTTATAAGAAAATTCGTAACCCACCTCGAACTCGATCGGATCTACAACTCAAAATTCACAATCCGTTTCAAACTAAATTTTTTAAACCTGAACTCACTTCATTAAAACCGGATCCGAGACGGATCCGGAGCTAAACCGCCCCATTTCACATCCCTAGGACTAGGTTTCCAACGTGCCATAAGTAGGGATTAAAAAAAATTGAATTACCAAAAATTGTACATGACATATGGGAAAATACCTAAATTTATATAAGAGGTCATTATATAGTTTATTTATAATATATATCTGAAATATCAAAATTAGTATTTCGGTATATATTAAAAGTATTTTATATTATTTTGTTATTTTAATATTTTTAACATCAAATATATAGACCTATAATTAAAATATAAAATAACAAAAATAACACTCTCACGTGGGAGGGTGCCACACCCAAAGTACATGGGACTATGAGAGAATGTCTTAAATTTACATGATGCATTGGAGCAACTCACTTCGGTGTTTTTTTTTTTTTATTATTTAAATTTTTGTTTAAATTGTATTTTAATATGATATTTTATAAAAATAAATAGTATATTTTTATTATAAATTGTGTTAAATAAACAATATTATTTTTATTTAAAATATTAAAAGAACAAACTGAATGTATAAAATAACAAAATTGTTATGTACGTAGAGTAAGTTACATGATATATAAACGTATGAGTACCATGTAAGTTGTGTCATAATCGTAAGATAAATTCATTTATTCAATTTAAGAATTAACGTTTTGTTTAAATAAATATTTTTGAAACTTTGAGGTTTGTAATTTTTCTAAATATATGTGTATATATATATATATTAAACTTTCACTAATTTAAAATGATTTAGTATTTAGTATGTATACAGACATATACATATGATGATTCAATATGTTTGTTACAGTATTTAGTCATAAGATTTTGAAACTTCTATTGTCTAACCATCCTAAAAATTTGAAATAATCAAATATTTAAAAGAAAAAAAAACAATTTAAATGATAATAACTAAACATGTGATTGTGTGCATATAAATAATTAAATTAAATAATATACGATAATTAAAATAATTGTGTCCGTAGAAGTGTAGGTGGGAAATGATTTTGAGGTTTAATGTCAAAAGTTGGATTGTCTGAACGCACAACTTTAACAAAAAAGGACAAATTCACATCAAACAGAAAATAGACATATCTTTTTGTGTTATTGTATTTAACATTAAAAATATTTTTATATTTATATAATTTACTTTATAAATATCATTGTATATATATTATAAGAGAGTAATAAATATATTTATATCTTTATATTTATTTATACTATATTTTGATATAATAATTCATATTTAAAGATCAACCAAAATAAAACAACTGTACTTTGGGGTAGTATTTCATTCTCTCCAAACGAAATGACTCATCCCCATAATTCACATGCAAAACTAATTGTTAAACCAACAATAATTTTCTTATTATCACAAACAAAACAAAGACAAGACACAGACCACATCACCCACTATGGTGAAAATATCAAATATATATATTTTTAATTTGATTGATGGTGACATAAATAAATGAGGTCGAAAATTTTATTACTCACCATTAAAGAACTACCAACATGACTTAATTAATTAATTCATGCAAAAAAATTAGGCAACAGGATTTTTACATATGATTAATTAATAATTATTAGCAGAGGGTTTAATCAATTGAGATGTTAATTAATTTTATTTAATTTTTTTGGTAGAGATATTAAATTTTTTTTATATATTATTATTGTTATTATTTTAGGTCGCAATGCAGTTATAGGGCTCCCATATCAAGAGGGATCTTCGGGTTCGGGCCTCCTTGCACCCACTGAAATACGCCCCGAAATAGTCCGCGTTGTTCTCTTCCCCGTTAACGCCGTTATGACGGCGTTTGTTGATCGGATTCGGCACCGCGTAGCCGGCGCCGGTTGCCATGTTCCTCCAGAAGTACTCGTACGCGTTGAATGAGGCGGCGGTCGGCGGCGATCGGATCAGTCGTGAGACTCGCGGCGGAAGTGACTGAGGGAGAGTGAACTCCTCTTCAACCTCGTCGCCGCCGCAGGCGGTATTGTCGGCCTTCGGATTACGGTTTCCGATTGTCATGAATTTAGTCACCACCGCTTCTGAATTTAGGCTTTGGAAATCCTCTTCCGCCGGATCTTCTTCCTCCGCGCAACCGCCATCTCCGGCGGCAGCGGCGTCTTCCTCCTCCAGAATCTCTTCGTCGGCGGTTTCATCCGGCGACGGAGTACGCATCAAACTCAAAACCAGGCGTCCGTTTTGGCGGTGAGCCTGGAAAAAATTCCTCGCTGGAACGGAAACTGCTTCGACAACAAGCCTACCGTTCTCCCTGTGTGAACTCATGTGAATCGAGGCGGAAATTGAATGAATCGGCGGCGGTGGCGGCGGAGGTTCGACCGCCGCCGCCGATTTCTTATACTTAACAGCTCCACACAAAATTTCTCCAACCTTATTAGTCTCCTCAAAAATCCTATCGTCTCCTTCCTTACCTTCATCCGAAGAACAATAAGCAGAAAAGCAATCCGATCCAGTCTCCGATCCGAGACTCTCCGTACAGATCTCGAGACTCTTCTCACTCAAACTGCTCGACGCTCTCTTCACCAGCGGATGAACGTACGGCGGAGGCAGCGGACACTCCTTCCTCTTCTGCGACATCATAATCGAGCTCCAAACATCCTCCAATGGCGGCGCCGGTTTTTCACTCAACCTCCGGCGAACTTTCTCGAACTCCTCCTCACCTTCGGATGACGACGAAGACGAATCTACCGAGAGCGGAAGCTTCGCCAGTTCCTCAGACGAAACAACCTTCTTCATTCCGTTCTGCTCGAGCCATTTCTTCGACGACATATCCGCCGACAGCGTTCTCCTAATCGACGCCGCCTGCTTCCTCTCTCCGCCGTCGGAATCCAGAATCGCGACTATACCTTGCTTCCTCATCCCCTCTTCCTCCACCGGAGCACCAAATATGCGACTCTGGCTCTTAATCATCTTCATCGTCGCCATAATTCCTCCACTCACTTCCCCTACACCACCACAAACACAATCAATTACCACAAACAACTCAACAACAATCAAATCGCACCAAATCGAACACACAGCAGCTTCAAATCAAATCCACATCATTATTCAAATCAACATCACTACACATACATACCTTAAATGAAATGACCAAGCAACAGCATCCACAGCACAGCAGGGATGGCGGTTGCGAAAAAGGCGTGAATGAGGGAGAAGAGGGAAGGAATGTGTGAAGGTTTGTTGTGTTGTGTTGGCTTGATAGCAAATGGAAGGAGTGATAGCGGTCCGGTATTTGTAGGAGCCCAAAGCCCGGGAACCTGTCCGCCGTGGCCCACCCACCATCCCCTTACTAACTTTTCCAACTTGTCCTTTATTATTATAATAATAATAATAAAATTTTTTATATTTTAATAATATTTTTTATATTTTTTAAAATTTTAGCAATAACATTTCTTATAGTGTATTACCTGTACAGTTATTAACGCGGATAATAAATAGTATTATATTCAATTACGCGTATGATTAATTCAGTTATAGTATGTCATAAATATATGGAAGCAAAAAAATAAATAAAGGTAATTTGTTATTTAAATTTCATAATTTACTGGCAATAATTACTATTGCCACTTATTTAATAAATTAGTAGGAATTAAATGCTGTGATGATTTTTTATTTAAAAGAAAAATAGGAATAACATTGAAATATAATATACACACTTGTAATGGTAAGTTTAAAAATCGAGAGTAATAAATATTTAGACCCGCTGTCATTGAATTTCTTTTCAAAATTTAAACTTGTAATAGTTGTTTGTAATTATTTCTCATTTTTGTCTATCAAGTCAAATATATATACATTTTAGTAAAAATATTTTTTACTTTAATAAACAATATCTCTATATTTTACATTATATTAGCAACGATATTATTGAAAAGTAAATGAATTGAAGGGTAAATTTATTTTCTTATCTTTCTATTATACTATTACTTATTTGATATACTAAATTCATGTGCAAAAAATAAATGAATACAGAGGACAATAGTTTTAGTATGAGAAGGTTATGTTTACCCGTATGATGTGTAAAGTTAATGTAAAATTATTAATATAAATAAGTATAAAAGTAAAAGTATTTGTAATGTGTGTTTCTTTACACCAAAAATTTCAAATTTTTAGTATTTGGATGCATTTTTGGAAAAAATATAATTTTTTTCTTACAAAACATCTCATCGTATATTATTATAATACCAAACTTATAAAAAAAACACACTGGTCCATATTTTGTATTTAAACAATAGAAAATAGCAAAGTATATACTTACTAATTAGACAGAAAAGAATATCTCATTTTCTATTTTATCTTATCCAAAACTGATGTATTGGTTTTTGTTTTTTAAAGTAATTATACTTTATATATAACCTTTTTTTAAAAAAAAAACTCTTGCTTTCTTTGTCCGGACTTTTTATGTTATATTATCCAGACACAGAATAAAAAATAATACTATTTTAATATAATGATAGAGTAAATAAAATATAATATAGGAATATTATGAAAATTTTATTAAATAATTAGTAAAAAATAGCTGAGTAACGGAAAAAATAATAGCAAAATTATTATTAATAGTTAAAGTAAAAATAATAAAATTATAAGTAAATAAATTTTTTTCTATAAATAAATTATGGGTGTGTTTGTTTGGGGATTTTGATTTTGAGTTAGGATTTGAATAGTAAAATAATTTGAATAGTTGTATGATGTGATATAAATAGGTATTGATGTGATGTTTTGAATATAAAATTGATTTTTAATATAATATAAAAAAATAAAAAATATGTATTTGATTTTATGTTTTTGGAAATAAAAAATTTAAATGAATAGTAAAAATTTTACAAAAATCCTCCAAACAAACACACCATATATATAAATGTAAAAAGAAAAATAAAAAATGACATAAGACGAAGTGAGTGTACAACTTATTATTATTACATGAATGTCATCATAATTATTTAACTAAACTATTTTTTCTTCTACAAGTAAAAGTACATTTTCATAGAACTTCTGTTGTAATATATATATATATATATAAAATATTAATATTTAAATTTACATATAAAAAGTAAATAATACATATTAGACGGATAAAACTTTTTTTTTTAATTTTTTTTATTTAGATATCAACATCAAATTATATTTTTTCGTATAATTTGAAATTCAATCATATTTATTACTAGTATTTTGAAATTGACTTCTATATGCATATAATAAAACTCTTTTTAATATCATTTATAAATACAAGTTAATTATTGAATCTACCCAATTTAAGAGAGAAAATCGACATAAATTTTATATTTTTAACGAAAAACAGATATCAGATTATGAAAATAAACACATAATTTATCTCCGATTTCGAATATGCAAACTCCTATAATATATATCATCAAATAAATTTGATCACGAAAAAAAAAAAAAATCAATATAGAAATAATACTCCTTCCATCTCATAATTTTAGTTCAAAATTTTATAGCACGGATTTTAATTTGTAGAATTTCAATTTAAAATTTGATTACTTTTGAATGTTTATAGTAAAAAATATAAAAAATGATATTATTGAAAATATTTTTTTTTTAAAAAAAAAAAAAGTGAATACAATTTTAAGATATATTCAGAGTATGAAACTCTATTTATATCAATGTAATATAATGAAGAAAAAAAAAAGTTATTTACAGTTAGGTAATTAATAAAGGTTAAAAAAAAATGAGAAAGGGTTGATGATTGGATAATGAAAATGGCTTAACATCAAAGCAAACCAATAACTTTATTAATTTTTTACTCAAAGCCAAGCCGAGCCGAGCCAGGCCACCACTAGCATATACGTATATGAGAAATATGTAATTTTTGTTTCTTACGTAAATCTATTTTGTTTTCTATTGTATACAATGCGTTTTATTCTTTGTTTTGATATTTTAAAATAAAATAATCATTAAAGATAATCCTTTATGTAAAAAATAATACGAATAAGACGTTCAAAGAAAAAAAAAAATTAAGAAATTAAATAGTAAATTAATTATTTAAAAGAAAAAATCAAAAACAACCTTTGTTAGTATTTATTTCAAACATATTCATTCAGGTTTTGTGTCATTCTACTTAATATTTAAATATCATTATATTTGTATTATAAGACATGAAAATAAGTATTTTTGTTTATTTTTTCCTAATTTGTATTATAATAATTAATATTCAAATATCAATATACATATTTATATCACATTAAACAATTATTTTAATTTAAAATTTAATAATTTAAAACTCAAACACAAAACCAAATAAGCCACAAACAAGTACACTTAGGGTGTGTTTGTTCGGGGATTGGATTTTAAATACACTATTCATCCTATTTTTTTTCCCAAAAATATAAAATCAAACACCTATTTTTTATTTTTTATATTATATTAAAAATCAATTTTACATTCAAAATATCACATCAACACCTATTTATATCAAATCATATAACTATTCAAATTCAAAATTTTTACTATTCAAATCCCAACTCAAAATCCAAACCCCTAAGCAAACACGCCCACTAATTTAAATTTTAAAGGTTTAAGACTTTGTCCTTATTTGTTTATTTTCATTTTTTATTATTTAATCTTCATTTTTTTTTATAAAATATTAAAATCTAATTATTGTTTTAAATACTCCCTCCGTCCCGTTGGAAGGGTGGTGTTTGCTTTTTGCACGTAGATTTTTTAATATTAGTATTATATTGGATTGTAGTAAAAAAAGATAAAAATACCTCTATTAGTAGTATGGTGTAATATAAAAGTAATTGCATTTGTGTAATATATTGTAAGTTGAAAAAATATTTATTATGTTAACTAGGTAGTACAATTACTAAATTAAAAAATAGTAATCTTGTTTTGGGACGGACGAACGGATGAAGTATATTAGTTTGTTTGATTATTTAAAATTAATTTAAAATAAAATATTAATTTGAATTTTTATTTAAATAATATTTTAATATGATATTTTATATAAAAATATTTTATTTTTATTAAAAATTGTATAAAAATAAATAATATTATTTTAAATTTAAAATGGTAAAAATAACAAAACATATATATCTAGTCATCTAGAAAGGACACTCATGATATGGATTGTTTATAACTATTAGTGTAATTGGGACCAAAGTTGAGTGTTTGTTCATATTGTGGTTGTTTTTGTATTTTAATTTTAAATTTCAATTTATAAAATAATTGAATATGGTATTTTATGAATTAATTTATTTTTGTTATAAAATTATGAAAGTTGAATAATATATACTCCTTCCGTCTCAGAAGTAAATATCTATTTATTTTTTCACGTAGTTTTAGAAATATTAGTATTATATTGGGATACAGTAGAAATAAAGTAGAAATGACTAAAATAATCTTATTAGTAAGTGTGATATAAATATAATGACATTTGTGTAATATATTGTAAGTTGTAAGAGTATTTGTAATGTTAGGTAGATAGTACAATTGCTAAAAAAATGAAATAGATACTTTGTTATAGAACGAACTAAAATAGAAAAATGGATACTTTGTTATAGAATGAACTAAAATAGAAAAATGGATACTTTGTTATGAGACGGAGGAAGTATATATATATATTTTTTAAAAACATTAGATACAATATTGTTGTAGAAAAATACTTAGGGTGTGTTTGTTTGGGAGTTTGGATTTTGAGTTGGGATTTGAATAGTAAAAATTTTGAATTTGAATAGTTGTATGATGTGATATAAATAGGTGTTGATGTGATGTTTTGAATGTAAAATTATTTTTTAGTATAATATAAAAAATGAAAAATAGGTGTTTAATTTGATGTTTTTGGGGGGAAAAAATTGGATGAATAGTAGAATTTTGTTAAAATTCTACAAACGAACACACCCTTAGTATTTATCTGTGTTTTTTTAGCATTTTAAACATTGTAGACTTTTTGAAATCGTTTTTTTTTATAAATAATAAAAATAAAATTTTAATATAAGATTTTGAATAAAAAAGTAATTATTGTGTATGGCATGTGCTCTCAATTCTTTTTATTATTATTATTTTTAATTGTTTTTTACTGTTTAATATCTCAAATATTCTTCAAAAGCATTGCTCAGATCATCTTCAACCCATTGCTTGTATCAAAAATGGGGAGAGGATCCCAACCCACCCTCAAATCCCTCCCATTTTTGCAGGAATTCACAGTGTTACTCAATTTTTGGAGTAACACTGTTACTCC